GTGGATTTGATTCCTATAGTCGACTGCCTCCATGGTGTAGTGGTTAGTGTGTTAGGCTTTCGTTTCGGACGTCGTGAGTTTCCGATGGGTGACTGCCTCCTTAGTGCAGTATATCCGTAATCACTCAGTCAGTTCTTGCATTATGTGGAAGTGGTACGGGTGATGGTCAGAGCTTGTTTACAAACAAAGGCGTATGCAGTGCAACGTTGAAGGTCGTAGACGTAGGATATAGGTATTCGTTTAATGTGTATGTAATGATGTAATTTGTATCAGGAGAAGGGTCTTATTTCAAAAGGATGGTAATAATTTTAATTTCACCCTGTAGGTACATTATGAAAACGTTACCCTATATTCCAAAATTTGCGTTTCAGTCGGCGTCCTTTGATGTGCCGCCGCTGAGGCAGAGGTGCTATTTTTGAATTTTTTGTAACAGTCTGTAATTGCCGTTTGCGTTGTGAGGACTAAATAGGTGTCATCGTTTTGTTTGTGTCTTGTTTTTGTGTTTATTTAAACTATGTCACGCTTAAGCAATAGTGATTACTAAGAGATGATGTTGTGCGTAGGCGCAGCCGATGGGAGCTTGCGCCAGCCTCGCCAAATTTATTGGGCAAAGTTTATTGATGGCGTCCCAGAAAATCGACGTCGACCATTTCCTGCTGTGGAATGCTTCAGGAAGATGGTTATGAGACTTCATAATAGTGGATCGTTCCGTGGTTCCAGTTCTGAAGGTCGGCCGAGTTCACGAGACCCAGAATTCGAGGCAGATGTTTTGGAACATTTTCTCGGCAATCCAAAGACAAGTACTCGTCGTGCTGCGGCAGCCTTTGGTGGTGTGAACCATATGAGTGTGTGGCGTGTGCTACGGGATGATGGCCAGCACCCATACCATTTTCAAAGAACGCAGGAGCTGTTACAAGCGGACTATGATCTACGTTTGGCATTTTGCCGCTGGTACCGCGACCAGGTTGGGAGGTCTCCCGACTTCGCTTCGTCGGTACTGTGGACAGACGAGGCGTCATTTACGCGTGCGGGCATTATCAATATGCATAATGAACATTTTTGGACTCATTTGAATCCCCGCGTATCAAGGGAATCAAATTTTCAACACCAGTGGCGGATTAACGTGTGGGCTGGTATAATAGGTTGTGCCGTCATCGGTCCAGTGTTTTTGCCGGCAAGTTTGAATGGGGCCAATTATTTAAGATTCCTAACAGAAGACTTGGATGACGTTCTGATGGCCCTGCCAGTGACACAATACGTGAGACTCGTGATGGAACACGGGATGACTTTCTAGCACGATGGAGCACCCGCACATTTTGCTCGAAATGTACGTTCCCATCTGAACGACCGTCTCCCGCAGTGGATTGGGCGGGGAGGTCCTGTACCCTGGCCAGCGTGGTCCCCAGACTTGACACCGCTCGATTTTTTTTGTGGGGTCATATAAAAATATTGTTTATGCGGAGTCCTGTGAAAGCGCAGAAGAAATGAGGCAGCGGATCGAAATGGCGTTTAGTCAAATCACTCGGCAGATGCTTCAAAGAGTAGAGCAGTCTCTGTACCGACGCACGGAAATATGCATATTGCATGGAGGTCGGCATTTTGAACCTTACCTGTAAATGTGTGAAATGTGCCAGCAGTGCGTGTAGTGATTGTACTTATTATTCAAAATTATCGTAAACAAGTCAATATTTCGTACATTGTACAACAGTGAATTACAATTCGTAGGAAATTCATTAAAACGTGTATGAATTGCACAGTAGGTAAGTACCAATTAAAAAAGTATCCACTATTGTAAAATTGTCGTAAATAAATGTATTAATACAAAATTATGTAGAATGTGTATACGATGAAGGCGTGCGTAACTACGGGCTTAATAAGTAAATAAATATCCTTTAAATTGTATGTAAATAAGTACGTACCTAGGTATGGCATAAAATAATATTGTTAGAAATAATTCGATTTTTCTAGGTATTTAAAGATTTTGTTACTTAATATTAACGTGTTATCAACATATTCAAATCATGTTTTTACAGTGGCATTTCAATTGTAGTCAGCTGTTCTTTCGCCCCGCTTGCGGCCGCCCAGGTTTCATTAATGAATTTGTGAAGTCGTAGTAACGTAACTAGCAATAGAGTTGTGACGCAGTGGTTGTTTCGGACAATCACTATTTATACAAACATAATTAAAGTTATATCAACATTAAAAGTCACTTATTTTTATTTGATATTTTGCACAGAGGGTCTAGATCAAGTATAGGTTTGGCTCCTTTAATATGACTACACCTTGCGGTTACACCCTGTATAAAGACGAGCCCGACCCCACCGTAGTTTGTATGACTGCCATATTTGAAAATGGCGAAAAATAAATTTTGATATCAAATTATTATATTTCTAGTGGCATTCACATGCCAATTTTCAGTCGAATCAGAGGAAAACTCTTTCGGCAGCTATTTTTAACGAAAAAAAACACTATGGCAACCTAAATAAAAAAATAAAAAGAAATTTTTGACCCCAAATTGTAATTAAGGACTCTTAAAGAACCTCGCATGCCAATTTTCAGCCGGATCGAAGCAAGTTTTTCTTCGGCCGCCATTTTGAAATCGCCATCTTGGATTTTTTTGACCCAGGCAGTTGACCAGTGTTACCCTCTATGACATTCCTTCGAGCACCTATGTCTAATAGTTTCCGTGATAGGAGGCTTTGAAACTTGTATGGCGGCCATCTTGTTTATTTGAATTTCGAACATTTTTTACTTCCCGCGGAAATTGACGGACTTGTGACTGATCGGGAGTTGGACTTCATATTTCAGTAGAGAATCCTGTTTGGTTGAGTTTGAATGGGAGGGAGCAGGGTTATTGACTGCTCCAAATTAGTTACATGTAGGGGTAGTTGGTATGATCGCGTCAAGTTGTATCCTTAAAAATCTCAGAACAAACCAGTCGTATATCATTGACAGCGACGAAGATTCAGAATCTCAGAATCAGAATTTCGTAAAGCGGCCATCTTAAATCCGTCATATCAGAACACTTTCGGTTCTGGTAGAACCTGACCAAGATCCTTGACAACTTTTATTTGAATGTGCCCATCTCCGATACTTGAGGGAACAGCCTCTGTCCCTCTTGATCACCTTTCCGGCCACTATTCCTGTAAATCATTTTAACAATCTCTATTCCTTTCGGGAGAACAATTACCTAAATGTCTACATCAGTCAGTAGTAATTGAGCTACCCACATATAGTATGTTGCGCGTTGCGCTGGGCCGCTAAGGCGGCCCGCGAGGCCTGTGTATTGGGCTTGTGACAGTTTGCTGCTTGTAGTGGTTGTTTTCAGAAATATATGTTTGTTAAGTTTATTTGGGCAGGAAGGAGCCAGGTAGTTGGTATAATCGCGTCAAATCGTATACTTCAGAAGAAACTACTCGTATAGCATTAATAGTTGCGAAGATTCAGTAAAGTAAACTTTTTAAAGCGGCCACCTTGGATTCGCCATATTGGAAAATTTTTGATCCCGGTAGAACCTGACCATGGTCCTTACAAATTTCGTTTGAAAGTCATACACCCATCTCTGCCGCTTTCACCCGGCCGCTTATCAAGGAGACCAGGTCGACTTGGATGTTGCGTGTTGCGCTGAGCCGCTAAAGCGGCCCGCGAGGGTCCCGGTGTTTGGTGTTTTAAAATCTACATAAAACCAAATCAATGTTTCAGATTTACATAAGGCCGACTGGAAATGAGGTGTAGTCTTAACCCTTACCAGAGACATCGATCTTGCTATTTTCTTTGCGAAATAATAATTGATTCTGTGTGAGCCTTCTTCAGCTGCACGTTACTGAACGGATGAATCGGAGTGTGAGCGAGGTAGTAGAAGGCACTATAAGTTTTAATGGAGATCTCTCTATTGCATATGGTTCCTTGATAGGGGTCTCACAGTTAAATTATCATCGTCATTAAGTCTCATATTCTGCTCTTCCATAGGAAATTCCGATAAACCTTGGGACAATATTGACTTCCGATGCTGCAGAAGCTACATCAAACTTCATTTTCTTCGTTGTGTTCAATTGCGATCAATCGAGAAGGTGGAGTTTTATCTTTAAGTTGTTCTGTTGTAATCAATTGAGGAGGACTTTTATTTTCAGGTGCCATGACTGTAGTTTCTAATAACCAATTAGCCTTTTCAGCTGGTTTCTGGGTTATTGGAGTAGTCAGATTTATAATGATGCGGTCATTATACAGATTGTCATTGAATAAAAGTGTTGTTCTGCCTGGGGGCTCCAAGTTTTCTATGCATTGTGATGGATTTTCAGAATAATTTAATTCCGATTTTCTTAGTGAAAATCCATATGGTCCTTCTTCTCTTTGAGTTTTCGGTTCCATGTATCTAAAAAATTAAGCACATTTGGCATAACATCTATTCATTATTGAAAATAGAGCAAATATTCATTATTGAAAATAACGAAATCAAAGTAAGCAATGTAAATGTACTATCATTTGTTTAGGTACTTAAATAAATGTAAACGATCTTGATATATCTTTTTTTATTGAAACACTTTACAAATCAATAGCTATAAAAAGAGGCACGCAATTTCATACGACGCTTAGCATTTGTATTCGAAGGTAAGTAAAAATCATTTTATAAATGTATATTTCATTAAATAGACATCTCAAGATTGTTTATATTTAGTTAAGTAGGTATCTAATAACGAACTATAAAAATAGTTAACTAAATTACGAGATTTTAGAATAAAATAATAATAAACATAAAAGACATCAAGACAAGATGTCGTGCCTAATATTAGTAAAAACGAACTTACTGTTGCGGAACCCGATTGAGGACATTTTCTTTTAAGTTTTCTTGAATACATGTTGAATTATAGCACATTGATATTTTAATAAATGTATTTAACGACGGCACAACCCCAAAAACCTCTCATTGATTAATGCAACGAGGCACAACACAAAAAGTGTCGCTGTTGCTTTAACGTAGGCGTGTGTTCGTCGTAAGTGCAGGCACACTAAACGCGAGCCACTATTGCAGGAAAGGGGCAGGGAATTTCTATAAGGGTGCCATCTATAAGTTGTTCTATTAACTTTTGAGCTGGGTCTTTATTGTATGACATAAAATAGGTATTGTAGAACACGATTCTGGACTTATCTGAAAAACAGCGTCTTTTGAATTGTTTCACTGTTGCACTCGGCCAGCGATATAATATAATAACTAGATTGCGCGCATTGCGCCGGGCCACCTAAGGCCCGCGAGGGCTTTCTTTGTTTCTGGTGACAATTTGGGAGTTGAACTTAATATTTCAGTAGAGAATTCTCTTTGTTTGACTTTGAGTGGGAATGGCGGCCATTTTGTTTTGCGAATTTTGAATTTTTAAATATTTTTTTGTAGGGACGTATCATGAATATTTGTTTCTTTATACTATGATATCGAGTATTTAACAGTGAAATACTAGTAAAAATTTGGTGTTAATACATGTGGTAACACCAAAGTTATTTGTAAAACAGTTCACCAATCGGGTACTGTAATTTACTGGTAACTATAGTTACCAGAGACGTTCGACCGAAATTGAACATTTTGACAGTTACTCGTAGCTATAGCTACCAATTTAAAGTGTCTTACATTAAGGAAGCTGATACGCGAATGACGCCTTAAAGCGTCAATGAAACTCTTTATTTTCAATTGATATTAATTATTTTAATTTAAAAAAAGATATTCCTTGTTTTACTTATTTGTGTATTCTAGTGAAGTATGGATTAATGGTTGCATTTTATATTCAGTTATGTTCTTCTTTGACTTGAGAATTGAATTAATATAAGGTGGAAATTCATAACATGTCACTTCACTATATAGGATTGGCGTCTAGTGAACGAAACTAGTTTTTGTCAGTGGCGGTCAAAAGTTTAATACTAAATTATTTTTTTCTTTGCCTCTTTGGGAGTATCTGTGAGAGGAGAGTTTACAAGAATAGTTATCTATACTCAATACTACATTTTTATTTTGTTATTATAAATATATTTTTTCTTTTTTTTTCCTTATTCTTTCCTTTTTTTTTTAATTTTGTTTTTCTCAGTTTGAGTCGCTTTCTTTCGGTTAGATTCTAAGGTCAGCTTACTGTGCGTGCCGTCGAGCGCGACCTCGAAGATGAAGGAGGGGCGGTTGGTGCAGAAGATGAGGCCGAGCCGGCGGGGTTCTGTGTGCCACGCCACGCCGCACACGCATGCGCCGTTCGGACTGAACCGCACCTGTACAGCACTACCATGTAGCTGACCATTGTTTATCAATCACGGCGTGCTTCTCGATTCAACGGTCAATAAGCAAAGTTGAAGCCATCGCAGTTACAAAACATTTTTGTTTACACGCAAAATATATGAGATGGTCGCAGTTATACTCTGTCTTTTTTTAAAACGGAGTAAAATGACAGTTCATTACGCAAAAGTGTTACCCGCTTGCGAGCAGCTAGTGATAGCAGTCGATAAACATTTTATCGTCTGAATATTGGTCACGCTTATGGAATAAATATCCGAACTTGTTTCATTTGAATCATCATCGACCCATTATTCATTCAATTACTGAGCACAAGCTCATTTGAATTGTCTATTTTTGTAAGTTCATACATACATACAATGTATTTACAACTATGCTTATGAAGAATACAAAGAAGAGACACACTTTAAAGTTTCTCATTTTACTTCAATGTAGATTATTAAACCCAGCTATTCTTGTTAAAATGTACATGAATTATAACTTACAATTATATGGATGTCGGGTCCGAGCTAAAAAGTGTCCGCACTTGTAAGGCGCTAAAATCGTATACAGAGCGCCAAACTGCGCTTTAGTCTTCATTTGTTCGACTGACAGCGCGATACTGCGATGCCATTACAATTTAAATTTCGAATAGGTTGACTTGGGACATTTTTTTCGTGGTTTTTGTATTAGACCCGTCGTCCATTTATTTGTAAGTCAATGACATGAATAAATTGATCTCGATACTAGTAGGCCAACTGTCAAAATAAGAATAAAGAAGGCAATACGCAATTAGTAATCATTAGAACGCCGTAACATTCACAATTCAGTCATTTTTGGCAAACATTTATCTATTGATAAAACTATCGAAAACAACGACATAACTATTTAACATTTTGTGAAAACTTGCAACCGTACAAATGTCACTTTACTCCGTCTTCGAAAAGGACAGACCATAGTTACATTAAATTTCCACAAAAGATTTCTCTACTAAAGGAATTTAGAAAACGTCCAAACCAGTCCGAGGTTAGGACAAGATTTAGTAGCAGTAGAGCTCCTTGTGAAAGTTGTGAACCTTACCTATTCCTGCCGTCAAGCAGTATTACTGCGTTCCGGTTTGGAAGGGTAAGGGTGCTGGTGATATTACAGGTACATGAGACTTGTCTACTTGTCTCAGGGTGTCGAGCGCATATGTTTGCGATTTAAAGCACAAAGTGGTACTGCAACTGTGAAAATTGCCCTTTATGTAACCAACTATATAGTTCTTTCCAAGATTTTTAAAGCTATTTACTGCCTTCTAGGATAATTTTCCTGTAGCTATGACTGTTAAGATAGTTACCCTTGCTGACCCGTCTCAAAATTCCACCGGGTATACATTTTTTTCATGATACCAAGTGAAGGGACGAACAAGTCGTGCGCCTGGTAGTAAGCGACACACCTGTCCATAACAGTTGCTGTGCCACTAAACCGCAAAGATCTAAGGGGCACTGCCACTGCACCTATCACCTTGAGACACAAGTCCCATGTGCCTATAATTTCACCAGCACCTTTACCCTTCAAAACCGGAACCCATTAATGCTCTCATTACTGCGGCGGAACAAATGACTTATTCCCATTTGATCTCCTAAAGCCGATCCCCTGGGGGATCCGTTTTATTTTAAATTATTTTCTATTCCTATCGGATCCCCTATGCAGTGGATCATGAATAAATATTAATATTTTATTCCCACCTATTACCTTGGTATTTCCAAGTTTATTTTTGGTAGGTACTGCGGTACAGTCAACAAGAAAATATATCTATCTCATCAAGAAATTGTAGGTCATTATACATATATGATAATAATCATAACATTAAAATAGATTTTAAATATTGCTCAAAACTGATTTATGTTACTTGTGATTTGCAATATTTGTAACAGGTCATTAATATTGCCATATTATATGCCAATATTAATGACCTGTCACAAAAAACAATTTATTCTCTGTGATAATTGTAACATTTGATCATAAGGTGATTAAGGTGATTTCTTAGTTATATACTTAATTAGAAACTGTATACTGCGGTGTCTACAGCGACAAATATATTTAACTTGTACTTTACATTATATACAAGGTGAAACCTGAAAACCAGCGAATTTTTGAGGCTGTTACCTTTTCTTCAACACTGATTTAGATTTTAAGCCACTATTGTAAGTTATTATTCTCGTTGTTGTGTTGAAGAATAAAGTCTTTTTATTTTTTTTTATTTATAATTCCTCAATTTCAAAACTTCTTTTGACAAATACAATGAACAAGCCGTTGGGAGTTGCAAAATATAGAGTGGATCAGTTGCAATTTTAAATTGGCTGTGGATCAGTTTTGGGGATCAGATGGAAATAAATCGAAGAAATAAGTAAGGTGGCAGTACTTCCCTGGACGAACTCTTTCACAAGGAGCTCTACTGCTACTTAAATATATACATAAATAGAGACCAAAGGAGTCAACGTTATATTGATAAAACACAGTGCATGAAGACATACTTGTCCGGGACAGCAGGTGTCTGGCAAGACATCGCTGTCGAGCACAGTGAAGGTTTCAGTTTCGACGCGACACACCACCACCACCGAGAAGTGCTTCCCTACCAGCTGCTCGCCCCAGTCCTGCCTGTAGATGTACTCTTCGCCCTAAACACACACTCAGCTTTAGGGGAATGTCAATAAAACTTACAACGTTACGCGTTTTTTGGATAAAAAATATCCTAACAGGAAGTGGATTCTTGTAAACTTTAACAAACAATATTAAACAATAAATTAACTGCAATATTCTTCTATAACACCCAAATAGACAAATTGAAAGAGTGCGAAAGAAATTATTAAGGCTCTTGACTGTGGGACTGGTCATGATTATATTGATTAGCATTCTGTGGACATGGAATCGAGTTTCTCAACAGCCGTCGTGATTACATAGATACTGTCAGTTTATATAAAATAGTAAACAATGAATTTGATTCAACACCACTATAAATGTTTAGATTTCAGAGTACCCCGTCAAGTTGAAAGATCTTGTCGAAGGAATACACTTTTCTCAATTAAGTAGTCGCGGAAATGTTTCGTTGGCAATAGCTTTATTAGGCGATCATGTCATACGTACAACAGCAGGTTCATGGATGTGCATATTTTCTGTAATTCTTTACCAAAACTTAAAACTAAGATAAGGAAGCCTTATGTACTATTCAATGTTGATAGTCTGTAAGATTTCAACTGCATTATAAATTAAGGAAACCTTAGGTCTACTTTATATGTTCGTTAATTTAATAATAGTTTTATACCGACTGTTTGTTTCTTGAATAAATAAATATTTATTTGTTGTTTTTGTAAGCAAGGAAGACGAGGCAGGCCAAGAAAGAGATGGAGCCATGACATTCTAGAAACAGCAGGAACGGTATGGCCGAGACTGGCACAATACAGGAGGAGAAGGCTTTCACCGCTAAAGGCGGCCCTTGCACATAACACGACCAACTACAAATTAAGATAATACTAACCATCCTAATACATAGAATGAGATGTAAGTATTCCATTTATATTGGAAGGGATAAACAAAGCTATAAATAAAATAGTAAATAAATAATATTTATTGAATGACAGGATATTTCACCATCATGACATTGAATTCTTTTTTGTGAAATTACTCCCCAGTTCGTTATAATTGTTAATAGAAAAATCGAACACTTAGAAAAAATTCTTTCGATGCGGCCGGATTCGATCAAAATTCGTTAAAACCAAAAACAAAGATCACACAACAAGCACGTAGAAAAATTCGTGAGGTCCGCTGGTTCGTTCCGTGGCTTAGTTAGCATAGTACAGCCTAACACTAACTTAATTTAGTGTGACTTGGACTGCTTAGGTATTTTTATGTTTTGAAATTACGTTTTAGAAGTTTTATATTTATAGGTATAAGAATATATAGTAGTTTACGATATTCATATATGTATATGTATTGGTTTTATTACTTATTTATAAATATATGTTTATTTGCATTTATTTATCAATTTGTATCTATTGATTAGTAATTCCTCATACACCGCCGTCTTTTTCCTGTGAATTATATAATTACTTCCATCCAAAGGTTGTCTGGCAGAATTCGCTTAAAGCGATAAGACCGCCCATTTCCGATTTCCGATTTTTGGAAAGAGACAAAGAAGTCAAACCCTAAGGCTGGCCTACCTGTAAGTGTTGAGGGTGTAACTGAGCCTAACCAAATAGCTGAATTGTTTAAGTCACAATTTGAAGTTAAGTCGCCCCTGGGACCTGCGGCGAGTCGGTCCGCGGACTTTATTAGTGCTGGGCAACCACAACAGGTCCGCTTTTTGGCCAAAGAGGTTGCGATCGCCATTAAGGATATGGTTCGCGGTAGGTCTCCGGGTCATGACTTCCTCAGCGTGGAGCACCTAAAATACGGAAGTGTACACCTGCCTAGAGTACTCGCCTTGTTCTTCACGCTATGTATAGGTCACTCATATTTACCACAAGATCTGATGAGAACTGTTGTTGTTCCCATAGTGAAGAACAAGACGGGTGACGTCTCCTGTGCCTCTAATTATAGACCTATATCCCTGGCTACGACTGTGGGAAAATTATTGGACAGTCTGCTTAATAAGCATTTAAGGAAGCACCTGAAGTTGCATGATGCTCAATTTGGGTTCCGCCCCGGATTGTCAACTGAAGCAGCTATCCTTTGCCTTAAACATACTGTCCATTATTATACCAAGAGAAAAACTCCTGTTTATGCTTGCTTCCTCGACTTGTCCAAAGCTTTTGATCTTGTATCATATGACAGGTTGTGGAGTAAGCTACAGGATGAAACTGATCTTCCAGGTGATATAGTTAGTATCTTTAGTTATTGGTACGGAAACCAGAACAACTATGTTCGATGGGCGGGTGCAGTTTCGGGCATGTATAGGTTGGAGTGCGGTGTGAGGCAAGGGGGCTTAAGTTCACCGAGTCTCTTCAACCTGTACATGAACCGTCTAATTGTTGAACTGAGTAACACCATGATCGGATGCTCAGTTGATGGAAAGATGGTTAATAACATCAGTTATGCGGACGATATGGTGTTGCTCAGTCCTTCGATAAGTGCTCTTCGTAAACTGTTATCAGTTTGTGAGCTCTACGCTGAGGCCCACGGCCTTCGGTACAACGCGATCAAAAGCCAGTTACTGGTATTCAGAGCTGGTAACAAATGTTACGATAGCGTCCCTGAGGTTTACTTGGGGGGTACTCCTCTCGAAAGGGTTATCAAATTTAAGTACCTAGGGCACTGGGTCACCGAGTCCCTAGAAGATAATACGGATTTAGAGAGAGAGCGTAGGGCGCTGGCAGTGCGGGGCAATATGTTGGCCCGTAGGTTTGCAAGATGTACGGATAGCGTAAAGGTAGCTCTGTTTAAAGCTTACTGCCAGACCTTTTACACTTGCGGCCTATGGGTCAACTACACCCAGAAAGCACTTGGCTCCCTGCGAGTTATTTATAATAATGTATTCAGGATGCTGTTGCGGCTGCCACGATTCTGTAGCGCTTCGGAAATGTTCGCCGTGGCCCAGGTAGATGGGTTTCCCGCTATTTTACGGAAAAGGGTGGCCTCCTTAACGCACAGATTACGTGGCAGCGGTAACAGCCTCCTGAACGTCATTGCAGGCAGGGTCCAGGGTTCATTTTTTGAGCGCTGGACCAGCCTTCATGTTTACCCAAAAAAGAGTGTTTATTTGTAAATGAATGTTGCAAATAAACACTCTTCCCTGTAATTATTATTAGGTACTAACATTAGTGTGTAAGTTGTTTTTGTATTACTAACCAATATGGATTTCTATCTGAATTAAATATTTTGAATTTTGAATTTGAATTTGAAATTTGAATTGTACCACCGCTTATTTTTAATTTAATTGTATTGTATTTGTTTTCTTTTTTGGTGTACAATAAAGAATTTTTGTATTGTATTGTATAGCGTCTGGCGCGGTTTGCTAGGAGACGTCGGTTCGAATCCGTCCGGATCGAAGGATTTTTTTTAAAGTTTTCCATCTTTGTTTTAATAATATTTATTTTTGAATATAATATTTTACTACTATCATTTCTATATATTTTTAACCGACTTTTGAAAGGAGGAGAGTCTCAATTCGAAATTTATTTCGTGTGTATGTTACCTGATTACTCCGACATTCGTGAAGCGATTTCGATTTCTTTTTTAATTGGTATGAGGTACCTTAGTAGTGGTCCCATTAATATTCATTTAAAGAAAATATATTCCACCTCTAACGGTGGCAAATTAGGTACAATGAATCCGGTTTATATGATTATTTATACAAACAAATGTTTTTTTCTATCGAAAAGCGAGGACATCGTCATAAGGTTATAGAATTTAGTGAAAACCCTTACTTTCTTAGGAGGTGCTTCGCCGCTACCATCAGCTTTTGGTTTCTCCTCGCCCTTCCTCTTGATATAAGGCTCCGATTTCTTCAGCTTCCGCTCTGCGACGTACACGATCGAGCTCTCATCTGGAGACCAGTCCAGGCTACCGAATTCGGCTATAAATGACAAATTAAATTTCAGTAAAATGTTATTAAATATTAAAAAGAAACCATAATGACGAAAAGAAATAAAGAATGGGTTCACGCCAAAGCCGTTAAACCTATAAAAAATAAACAATCGCAAACAACAGCAAAATCAACCCATATTCTTTGGGAGTTTCAAAATGGCCGCCGTAAAGATGTGATGCGTATATAATGTTTGTGGAAAGAACAAATGGCAGAAAATTATGAAAATTACACCATTGAAAAAAAATACAGCGTAAGATTTGGTAGTATGACTAATAATTAGTCGCGTTGGCCTGTCGCGAAGGACGAAAAGTTTTATTATTATTATATTCTTTGTTTACTGATTGTATAATCAACGTGTCAAATAATTCTTAAGTCCCAGGCGTTCCATTGAACTTTTTACTACTACTATTTTTTTTGCTAGTATTTCTCAATATAACAGGTAATCACTTGAAATTAACGGACATCCCTACCAAGGAAAGGTAAAGATAGAAAATAAATGTCAAAATTACAACTTGTGACGCGCGTTGTGGCGCGATTGTTGATGTTGAGTGTTAGCTGAAGATTTCGACTGTAATGAATGCCGTTACTATTTATTTTTGCAATTATTGCCTATGATCATGACAAAATGATCGTTAGGATGTGCTTTCTGCTGGTGTTAAAACTTTAACATTGGAATCACAATCTTATTGGAAAAAAGGTCATCAAAGTGAAGGTCATTGCACCTTGTGACTGTTTTTTAGAAAAAAAAACTTATTCATTATTAAAAGACTTTTTGGAGTAAATATAATAAATATCACTCAAACACATTGACTTACAATTATATGGACGTCGGGTCCGCGCTAAAAAGTGTCCGAACTTATAGGGCGTTAAAATCGTATACAGAGCGTCATTCACGCTCTAGTCTTCGTTTGTTCGACTGACAGCGAAGCAAGCAAAATTAGACAGTACTACGATGACATTACAATTTAAATTCAACGTTTTAGCTTTTTCATATTCCTTGACATGTCACTACGTTTAAATAGGTTGACTTGGGACATTTTTTTCGTGATTTTTGTATTAGACCCGTCGTCCATTTATTTGTAAGTCAATGCTCAAACACATAACTTTATTCAATATAGGTTGCATTAAAACCTGTTTTAGGTCGTTACGTTGTGAATTTTGGTAGGATTCGTAAATTTTCTTCCTCGCGACCTGTACTTTTTCCACGCCATTTTGCGCAAATTTTCCGCGAATTCCGCCACTACCTATGATTGTTTTTAATTTATTTTAAAAATAGTAATATAATTTTTCATATGATTTTAGTGTTAATCGACAGGTATTTAAATGCTCGTCATCTTTAAATACGTTTTGTTTCCTAATAAAATGAATATATAAAGTGGTTAAGAATTAAATCGTAAAACACTGAAAATTTCTCAGAAGTATTCAGAGTACTCGGAAGTTAGCAAATAAAGTCGTCGTATTACAATCATAACTACTGTAGTCTAAACAAAAGCTACTTAAGTGCTCTTATCGCTCATGTTATATTTTTTGGGCCGTAGCTTAATTGGTTCTCGAGTTTCAAGTGTTTATATTACACGCGCCTTATCGCGGCTCCTAATGTAAACAATAAAAAAACGGTGGACGCGGCGTAATAACGTAAGCTCGCGCCTGAGCGTACAAATGGTTCAAGGATTACAGTGGTTGGTGGGATGCAAATGCGCGAATGCATCGCGCGTATGTATCGAAACATACGCGCAATTGCATCGATACATACGCACGATTGCATCGATACAAACGCGCAATTGCATCGATACAAACGCGTGATTACATCGATGCTAACGCGTGACTGCATCGACACAGTCGCTTATGTTGAATAATTATGTACGATAAATCTGCGTAGGTTTATGCACATTGTTTTGTTTTGTTAATTGTAAATTTAAAAGTTAAATTTATAAATACATTAAATAAATAAATTAGCCACTTAATTTAAAACATGCATCGCGTTTGTATCGCGTTTGCATAGCGTTTGAATCGCGTTAGCATCGCATTTGCATCGCGTTTGAATCGCGTTTGAATCCCGTTTGAACCGCGTTTGCATCGCGTTTGAATCGCGTTTGCATCCCGTTTGAATTGCGTTTGCATCGCGTTTGAGTCACTGCTTAAAGTCGCGTGTGTGTAACCGCTCATATACAAACATAGGTCGCAGGTTCAGTTCCCGGGCCAAGAGAAACATTTGTATGGCCTACATTTATTTCTCTCGTGAATTTGGGTGTAATATGTGGTTGTCTATGTGTGTGTCCATGGCACCCGCGACACAAAGTTTTCCTAGTGCGGGACTATGTTGAGTGTGTGCGTTATATGTTGAGTGTGTGTGCGTTACAAACGCATACTAAGTTTACTCGCGGTAAAATAAAGATTCGCATTTAAAAATCCACTGTAGTACTGACAGTCAACACTACAACAGTAAGCATATCACTAAAACAGTAGCTGTGGAGCTACTTGTCAAAGAGTTCGTCCAGGGATGTGCCACCTGACCTCTTTCTGCCGCCAAGCAGTAATGTGAGCACAATTTCGCACTTGTCAACTTATGTGTCAGAGTAGCAGCCGCAGTGGCAGTGCCCCTCAGATCTTTAGGATTTAAGCTCTGAATGACACTGCAACTGCTATGGACAGGGGTGTCGCTTATCACCAGGCGCATGACTTGTTCGTTCCGTCATAAAAAAACTCAATGTTACATAAATAACAATAAATATTTGACAACTTCACATAAGTTGCTCGTCAGTAACTAAAACTCTTGTATTATGGAAATCAGAAACGACGGTTACAACAAACACCCAGACCCGTGACAATATAGAAAAGTTAGTATTTCTAAATTGACCCGGCCGGGGCTCGAACCCGGATATTGGATGCCTGTCTCGTCAAAAATGGCCCAACCCCTCCTCACCCCCTCCTTCAAGTACCTAAGTAATCTTAGATAGGGATGCAAATTACGATTTTTATATAATAATAATAATATAATATATAATAATAACGCACTCACTCACACTCAACAAACCCAACCCAAACTCACGAGAGAAATAAATGTAGGTCATACAAATATTTCGCCCGGCCCGGGAATCGAACCTGGGACCTCCGCGTGGCAGTCCGGCATGGTAACCGTTCGGCCATGGAGGCAGTTAAATGAAGTTATATGAAGATCGATTCAACTGAATACGATCTAGCGATTTTTTGTATCGATTCATTTCAATGCAATTTTCCAGTAAATCGATTCAACATTAAGACGAATCGTATTGTCTAAATTGTATTCATAATTTAAACAAAACAGTCTCTTTTTTTGTCGCCTGGGAGAAACTCTTCGAGGCAACATCTAAGTACAATATGTCTGCAATATTTGGCGATTTTCGCTACTTCTGTGCCATCTGAACGTCTTTTCTCACTGGTTAGTATCTAAATTAAAGTCGTAACCGACTGAAGCCACAAAAGCTGTCAAAATATTTTTTTTTCATAGAAATTAATTTTGAAACGATTTTTATGAGGTCGATTCAAGAGCATACGATCAGATCTGTGGATCCATTACGATCCAAAAAATCAATTCGAAGCCAAAAATCGTGCATCCCTAATCTTAGACACTTACAGTCAGCATAGACATCTCCGTGTAGATCGAGCGCGGTAAGGTCCACGCAGTGCGCCAATGTGGCTCGCGACCACACTTCCAAGTATTGCTTCTTGACTTCCTTGGTGTCCTTCTCTTCGCGAATTATGGCCTTGTACCTCCCGCCTGGAGATACCGCTGACAACAACCTTAAAAATGGATAATCGTCAATACATTTACTTATTTACAAATGCAAAAATAATTAAACATTATAAAGTGCTAAAGTGATACAAACTGTTCTTTTTTAAATTACAAATATGAACACTGTGATATAAGGTGCAATTTCCAGAATGCACATCTTAGTGTGACCCACCATTAGGTTAACCTGTTTTGATTAATTCAAAATCTTTTTTTAATTCAATTAATATAGACATATGACCATCTTGTAGCAGTAGAGCTTGTGGAAGAGCTCCGACAGGGAAGTACTGCTACCATACCTATTTTTTCCACCAACTAGCAATAAAGAAGAGTTCATCCAGTAGAGTTAGCAGAACAGAACGCGACTAGCCTAAGATCGACATAAATCGCTACATACTGCCATAGAGATCTCTATGTGAGAATGGCAGTATCTCGCGCTTTATGTCGCTCTCGCCCAAGTCGAATACGGTAAAAAAGCCGAATCAGTCGCAGCGGCCATCACTCGGTTCGGTTTTTCGTACCACGCCGCGAAGAGGGGTTGCGATCACTATTTTGACATGAGAATCCAAAAGTGCCCCGGATTTAAACGCCGTGATACAATTAGAAGCTGCCAAAATCTTCTGTTTTTCATTTTTTCTACGCCTATTATACCAATACATAACGTCTTCGTCTAAAATTACAACGTCGTCGTCAATCTTCCATGAACCCTTGCATATGAGCGTTGCATTGGCCCGCGTCCAGCTGCAACTCGATGCCCAATGTATCGGAAAACTGACTCGCAAAACGTATAAATGTGAACGCACATTTGTTTTTTTTAACCTATACGTAAACTGAATAAGAACACTGAATCGTATAATAAACCGTACAAGTATGAACTAAATATAAGGGCGCGGTCCCATTATCGTGACGACAGATAGTCGCGCAGTTTGAAGTATAGTAGTTTGTATATTTAAATAAATTTGTTCACACAAGAACAACACGATTAACTGTAGTTCACGACTTTTTTGACGTTACGACGACAGACGTAACGACAGTCGTCCGACGATAAATAAAACGTCACGATAAAAATATGACGACAATTAATCGCAGCTTCAAACGATTCTGACGTGCAAACGACAAGGCGACTGTCGTGAACCGATAAATTGTCGTCACGGAACTAGTGGGATCAGCTAGACACGACAGTCGTTCAACCATAAAATAAACGTCCACGACATAGTCACGACAGATAGTCGTGATATGGGAACAGGCTAGATGCGACAGTCGTCCAACGATAAATAAAACGTTACATCATAATGCGAACGCACCCTAAAGGTCCTGGTGAAATTAGAGGGACTTGGAATTTGTCAACTTTTATACTTCTCGGTGACGGGTGCCCCTCTAATTATCTTTGCGATTTAAAGCTCTGTGCATAAAGCACTGCAACTGTTTTGGGTAGGCGTGTCGCTTACTACAAGCGCACGACTTACCGTTACTTAGTTTTATAAAAAAAATGTTTAGAGGGAATAAATAGACACATCATAAACTTACTCATTGCTAATGTCAGTGGGATATTCACTCTCCGATATAACGTTCAGCTTTTCATCCAATACATAATCGTACAAATACTTTGTGGTCTTGCCTTTATCCAAGTTTCGCACTGACCACTTAGCAGTGACCCCTGTTGCGGATTTATTTAGTTTACCACCTACTATTGTTGGAATCTTGGACAAAGTCTTGTACGCGTTTACTATTGTTTCTATCTGTGGACAGAAAAAGAAATGGAAGTACTGCATGCTTGCAGTTGATACGAAAGAAAATTTCAGTCGAGTCAGAATTTTTTTTTATTTTTTTTATTTATTAAGGTTTTGGCAAAGCCATCAGCCTAAACATGAAGTTTAATTGTTTCTGTAAATATGGCCGCCACAAAGAGAATAGGCAATTTGAGGCGGCGTGCTTGGATTGACTCGTATAATTTCGCGTTTTAATCTTCGATTAAGGTACAATAGCACTATCCTATTCCACTTTAAACTAGATTTCACAAAATAATTGAAAGTCAAAATAAAAACGACACTTTTCCCTCCAAAATGCCTAGAGCGAATCCTCTCGAGTGAGAACATAACAAACACCTGTTGCAATGTACAGTCAACAGCACATCAAGCTACACATTGACGTATCTAGTACCGTTGCACTGGAGGCGATTTTTGAACAAAAGTATTTATTATTGTTTTTTTTCTGAGTGACTATAGTGCAATTTAATATATTAAAGTAATGTTGGAATTATATTATAGTATAGTAATGTGAGCATTACTGCGTTTCGGTTTAGAATGGTAACCACCACAATGGTGGTACCAGCAATCGCTGGTGAAATTACAGGCACATGGGACTTATCAACTTATTATGCCCCTAAAATCTTTGCGATTAAAAGCTTCGTCCCGTCACTTGGAATTAAATAAAAATATATAATAATAACGCACACACTCGACATAGCCCCGCACTAGGGAAACCCTGTGTCACGGGTGCCATGGACACACAAATAGACAATTACAAATTACACCCAAACTCACGAGACAAATAAATGTAGGCCATACAAATATTTCTCCCGGCCCGGGAATCGAACCTGGGACCTCTGCATGGCAGTCCGGCATGGTAACCGTTCGGCCACGGTATATATTTATATATATATATCCTGTGTGAAGTTCACGTTAAAATTTCTTTAAAAGTCAGTCATTCAGTTTCGTCCAATTTAGTTGTGTTATTTATACCAATTAAAACTTATTTCAACCTAACTAACACATACATAAAACAAATTACCCTAACTCATCAATACTCATCATATAAAAACAACTTAAAGTGCAGTTTCATTGAAAGTAAAATTATTTATAATACACTCAAACATTAATTGAAACAAATCTAGTGGTCTTCTTATTCCAAGCTTGTTTGCATTGATCGAACATGTATAAAGAACACATTTTTATTAGATGCAATGGACAACAAATATATTGTTAAAAAAAGTGAAGGATGTCTTAAATATAATTTAAGACAATAGAAGGAAAAAAACATTTGCTTTGATTACCACAAATGACACCATAATAAACAACAATGAAAACAAGCAACAAAAAAGGAAATAAAAAAAAATACAAACAAATTTTTTTACAAAACAACAACACTAAATAGGTACAGATATTTTGTGTGATGCGAGCTGTGGTAACAAAGAGCGTCACTAATTCAGTTACTTAACACTGTGCATGGTGCAGACAAACGGATTGACAAAAGTTTAAAGATCAGCATTTGTTATTACAACAGGACATACTATTAGGCATGTGCTATTTCGATGGCTTCCTTTCTCAAACTCGTACCTTATAAAGAGTGATTATTCAGAAGATGGCAAAACTTTGTATTTATTTTAAATTTCTTATCAAGAATGTTCATTCGGAGGCATTACTTTAAGAACAGGTAAAAGCCAGGGTGTGAATATGAAGCAAATATGATGCGAAATCAGCCTGAAAAACTTATGTGCAATCCATTTTTAGCATTTCAGTAACTTTGTGCTCTAAGATACGAGTTTGAGAAACTAAGGCGACGAATTGTCAAATAAAATACTACACAAACCTGAGAAGACATTTTTAACATCACACCAGATCCTTACAATACTCAGCCAACTCCACCAGACTGTAAAATATTAAAACAGTTTTGAGTTAAAACGACAAATTTATCAATGATACTAAATATTTAACAATTTAGGGTTTACAATTTATCATACCTATGATTATATTTGTATAAAAATTATTAATATTATTATTGCACATAAGAAGTTACAACGAGAATACACAACTGTAATGTAACTATATCAGAACATACTAATTTGCAACAGACAGCTTTGTTGCTAAGTAGCAATTTCTTCCAAACACCCTTATTACAAGACATTTAAATACATTGCAAGTTAATAAATTATGAGATAAAATGCCAGGGGTAAAGAGAGTTAAAAGTAGATACAGAAAGGGAAGGCGAAGGCGCTAGAGGAAGAGAGAATTATTAAAAAAGATTACAGTTCCTCATATTCTGATCTAAAGTTATTAAGAGATAGAAGATAAGATCAATCAAAGCCTATCGTTAAAAAAAGGGAGGCTTTATGTTATAGTCGGCCCAATGCAAATTGTACACTTTTCCATTATGATTATTGGGAGGTATGCTACCAAACATTCACAAACTACGTTTTACCAAGGGAAACTTAATTAGCGCATAAGAAAGGCTTAAGGGTACCTACTCGTGAAACAACCTCAAAT